TTTTTTTTTTTTTTTTTTGTAATTCAAAAATGCACTTGGAAACAAACAGAATGGAATGTAATTTTATGCATAAACGTAGACGAGAATATTCTAAATGCAGTAAATAGGCGTAAATCCGTAGGATGATGTCACCGTTTGTAGTAACATAATTTACGCAATATATCTACCATAAATACCTTTAAAATGTTCAATATCTACTGTATTTCGTTACATAATTTTTCTTACATTAATTGTACAACTTGTTCTATGCGTAATATCATTTATACTGATATATAAGTCATTCGTCACGACATAAATTGAAATGTAATATTGATTAATATAGTATACTTAATAGAGTGTAATTAGTATAGTGTAATAATAGAATTTTGTGTTGTTCATATAATACGCATTTATATTTCTGTTTTTCCTTCAGAACCGTAAAACTTAACTTTCTTAATGCTTATTAAAATCTTCCTGCATAGAACAAATGAACATAAATGAACACAGATACCTTAAATAGTAACCAATATCAACAATTCACCGTAGCCAATATCACAGCAGTATCGAATAAACACATATTATTATGAAAATCATTATATCATATATATATATATATATATATTCACTATACACAGTGTCTTATGTTGAACGTTATAAACTGTTTTCTCTAAAAGCATTGTAGATATGAACTTGAAATTTTAACGTTAATGAAGCACTAACATTTTGGAGTATAAATAGATACAACGCTGAGTTTTTACAGAGTAAAATGAATACTATTCCTAAGTTTTTAAAAGGAATTAATTTTTCGTTATTATAGCTATTGTCAAACTTAACAACTTTTATTCAAAACGTTTCTTTTTATATAGTTAAAAAATTGTAGCGGTGAATATTCTTCTCGAAAGTAACTTTAAAAAGATATTTTCCATTCATTTCCAAGTGATTTATTACTTTATTTTTTTCTTTTCTTTATGTTTTTCTGCTAACAATATTCTTAAACCTAATATTCTTGAAGAACATATTTTTTTCTTATTATATTTTCTTTCGATCATACATACACAAAAAAATACGATTAGATTTTTATTACATTCAAATAAAAATACGTAAGCAAATAAAATTATATTAGATTTAATTTTTTTATTTTTATATAATTTCGAAGTTAAATCTTTTATATTTAAAATTAAATATTTCATATCGTTTCAAAATTAATTAATTTTTCAAAATTTATTCATTTATTCAATTGAAATTTTCTTTCCTTATCTTACATCTTCTTTTATCTTACATTTTAAGATAAAAATACAATTAAACATATTCCGAAACTGGGAGTCCATCAAAGTGGAAATTCCCTGTATAATGAATAAGGTAGAAAATTCATACGTTAAAGTACAAAAAATGATATAATACAGTAAATATATGCAGTAAAAAACAGAAAGAATCGAAAATTTGGAAACAATGAGAAAGCTAACAATTTGTATTATGCTAATGATAATTTATTTTTTATCTGAATTGCAGAACAATATGTAATTAAATTAATTTTTTTAATAAATAAAAATTGGAATTTAATTTAAAATCTATAAACGATAAACTTTACATTGAATTAATTTTTTTTCAAAAGAGAATTTTCATGTAAAAATTATTAAAAATTATTAAGATGATATTATTTTCTCTATTCTACCATTGTATTTTAGGTAATTAAATTGTATAATAATAATGTCTTTTTTAATTACAATGAAATCTTAATTTTTTTAATTTTAATAAAATTTTTAAAAATTTACAAATTAAAAGGGAAATATTTGACATTGAAACTTTATTTAATTTACTACAAAATTAATATTAATAAAAATAAATATTCTTCCAAATAAATTGTTTTTTTTTTATACAATGTAATGAAACGAACAAAGACTGATATAAAAAGCATCAATTGTTTAATATAAAAATTCATATAAAATGAATTTTAATTATGACATTATACTATACTATGTTTAATGTCATACAGAAGTCTTTGTCATAGTTGTATAAAAATTTTAACAAAAATATGAAATATTTGAAAGTAATTTTATATAATTTAATCTTAATTTTTCCATTACTAGTAAAAAATATATGTATTATATAATTAATGCGTCAAAATATTTTTAACACTAGAACTAGCCTACTAACTAGATTACTAGAGCCTAAAATTTCAAAACTTTACCCCTTTGAAGTAAAAAAACTAATGAAACTTTATACATTTTAAAAATCATTTAAATCTTTAAAAATACATCTGTTTTACATCTATAAAATTTCGAACAAAAATTATAAATTGGTTTGTTTCGACCACTTCGGTAATTCTAGTGTTAAAATCTAATGTATATGCAAATATACAGAAGAATATCGATAAGTAATAAACAAAATTTCTAAGGAAGATATTTATTTTTCATAATTCGAAATAATTTGATTAATAGTAATATGAAATGAATATTTCTAGGAAAACACTTAGTATTGGTAACAGATCCAGAAATTGTGGAAGAAGCCTATGCCTTTGATAATCCTTGTTTCAAAGATGTCACAATATCGTCAACTAACCGAACTCGAGAAGGAGCAGCATCTCTGACACCTGGAAATACCCCAGGTAAAGATTCTGTACGATGGTCTACCTCCTGGACTACCTCCTTAGGACTGAGCAACGACAAACGGAAAACTCTCGACGATTCGTACCTTGGAGTAAGTTTTATTTCTTTTTCTTCTTAATATAGTATGAAAATGATATTTATTACGAATCAAATCATAGCAATCTTTATTTATAATAAATAAATAGAGCAAGACTTGTGTTTTTATAAAGGAAGCTATAACGATCATAAAATATACATTTCATCATTCTAAACATAGAAAGTATTGTACATGGCTAAATTTGGTAAGTATACAGTTAATCTAGCCATCTTCGATACGTGCCCTTGCTATGTTCCTTCCTGAAGAGGAAGTCCATAGTATATGAATCGAATTACAAAACTAACTTTTACAAAATAAAAGTTCTAAGTGATAATTTTTTTTAATATAATATAAATAGAATATATAAATTGATAAAAGAATCTATAAAATGATTTATTGGTAGAAATAATAACGATAACATTGCAGTTATCAATAGTGTATTATTTTCAATTATGTAATCGCTAATTTCTTTTGTGCAGCCAAAAGCAACAAGGATCAATGTAGTTAGCTTAAAAAGTCGAGATTTCACTGGACTGGGATTTAATATTTGTGGTAATATGAGAGAAGGAATCTTTGTTAAAGATCTCTTACATCGTGGACCTGCATCAGAATCCGGTCGAATACATCCAGGTTAGTAATTTTTTTATATTTGAAAATTATCATACGAGAACCTTTACATATCATTAATAATAATAATCACTATCATTAATAATATATCAAAAACTAGAAATGATATTGAATAAGAAATATTTGTTTAATCTGTAAATTTCTTATTCATTTACTTTGTAGATATGTACTTTCTTTATTATATTATTTAATCTTTGAAATGCTACATTAACATGGATAACTTAGAAATTTAAATTGATTATTTATGTATAAATTAATAAAATTAGTTTTGTGTGATTATAATAATGATTATAACTTTAAATATTATCTCGTGTGCTTTTTTTAAATAATTTAAAGAATAATTAATTATATAATAAATATATATATATATATAATTAATATATATAATATATATTATTTAAATATAATTGTATTACATAGTGTTTAATAGAATTAAAAATATAGGATATCAGAATATTTCACTATAAACTTCCTAATAAAATTAGATTTATAAATATTATATTAAAAAATTTGTAACAAATACATAGAACGTGAAATAGAATATTCAAATATTTCACGTAATAATCTCTTTCTCGAACAAATTTAATAATATTTCAATAAATATTTATTTATTTTACTTATACATAATATCGATGTTTCTTTCACATTTTATTCATATTATAGTTTTTAATAATTTGTTTAATAAATTAGATCTATGTTTATACAATGTTACCATTCTCTTTTGTTTTTTATTTTATATTTCTACTAAATGCACATAAATAGTAAAGACTTCATTTTTTAGCATTATTGTGTTTACAGGGGATCGTATAGCCAGCATAAAAATCAGTTTTCGAAATATGGTTTACGAGGATGCTTTAACGATTTTAAGCTATGCTTCACCATATGACGTAAAACTTGAAGTAGAAAATGGCGGAATTGGATCAAAGCCAACCACTCTTTTGAAAAAAAGTGTTGGTCCTAGCGCAGCAAGAATTTGTCATCCCTTATACAGGAGTCAATCGATCCCAGAACTTTCACAATCAAAAAGTATTGCGAAAAGACTGTTCATAGTCGATCCAAATGATTCCATCAATTCTAATTACTCGACGATGAATTCGACTTTGAAGTCCACAAAGTCTACACCCAATAGTCAAACATTTAAAAAATGTCATGAAGAGTCCAAAAGCAATCACCATAAATTTGGTATTAAAGTTCTACCCTCTCTTGATGGAACTGTTCATCGCATTGAAAATCAAAATGAACATAACACGAATCTTGAAAGAAAACATTCGAAAAAACTCGATACAGAAAAACATTTGTCAAATATGAATAAAGCATTGACAATTAGTGACAAAAAGGAAGAAGCTCAACATCAACAAACTTCACAAATACTTCCAGCTCTTAAAGGAAAAAATGATACCTTCGAATCAGGTAGTGATACGTTAGATAAAAACAGCAAACTCAGTGATACATCGATTCATATTCCGTCAGAAGTACCGATGGAAGTCCATAATGCAGCTATGGCTGCTCGCAGAAATCGGAAAAATAACTCTGAACTACTAAATACTCCCAAAAATATAGAATCTATCGAGACAGATGATTTTAAAAGTCAACAGAAGAATAAGAGAAAAGCTCCACCACCGCCAAAAAGCAATAATTACGATATGGAATATATTTCTCCTATAAAGAAAGAGTCATCAATTACAAAAGAATGTAATTTAAGAAAAGATGAAATCAATAGCATTGCCGATTATACAGATTCTTTATCTGAATATATAAAAAAAGTACGCGAAACAGAAAGAATAGATCCATGTGTAGAAGAAAAAGTAGAAACTTTAATAATTGATGGAAGACATTCTGAATCTGACACCGACAGTGAAATTCAGAACAGTTTTACAACCATCGAATTGAATCCAGCTGATATCACAATTCATCGAACACCTATACCAGAGACAAATGACGATGAAGATGAAGAAGATGATGTGTACAGAAAAGCTGCAAGCTTAGGTGATCTATCAAAGTACGAATGCAGAACATCCGCAACACTTGAAAGAGCACAGAGTTTGGATATGACTGATACCGGCACAAAGAAACGTAAGGCACCTCTGCCACCAGAGGATATTAATGAATCTACAGAAGATTTAACTAAGCTTGATCAAATGGATACTTTCGATAGACGATTATTAAAAAAATCAAATGAATGGGGTAATTTAGAAGACGTTGTATGGCGTAAAAAACAGGATTCAGAAGATAAAAAATCAAAAGTTAGAAAAAAAAGCAACGGTTCGCTTGAACGATCTAAGTCTGCTATAGAAATTAAAATAAAAACTGAAACTTCTGATTCAAAAGAAATAAATCCTACAGATGATGAAACTAGCATTGAACTTTATAATCTTCCCTTAAGCAAAAGACTTACAGAAGAATTTATTCATGCAGAACGGATGTTCAATCCAGATGAGGATAATTCCTTGGTCAGAATTGTTAATGATGGAAACGTTATTAAAAGTCCGACAATTGAAGAAGTAGAATTACAGTTTAAAAAGAAAACATCATTACCTGAAGATTTTAGCAACGATAGTATGATCATGAATGAACAATTTTCGGATGATGAAAAAATAGCAAATAAAGATTTCGGGAAAGCTTTGAAACATTTTGAAACGTACGTTCAGAAACCAACATTTTCAGATTCGTCCAAACATGATTTATTTCGTTTCAAAAACTGGAAGGAAGATAGTTCAATAACACCGAATGAAATGATTTCATATACCGGTAAGAAAGCTGTCAATGAAGAACCAGTGACAAAAATTAATATTAAAAGAGGGTGTCAGGCATGCGATGAAAATTGTAATCGTCATGAAACTTGCAAGAAAAAATCTTTTTCTACGAAAAGATCATCTACTCCAATACCTCTACAAGACCATTCTTCGAATTCAGTGAGAGGTAATAGTTCTGATTCGATAACAATTAATGATGAAGAACCACCAAACTCGATATCTCAGACGCATGGATCGATGTTTAAAGACAAAGAAGGTAGAAACAAAACGTCGCCAATAAATTCGAAGACGCCGTCAAAACGAGTGGTTGAAGTTTCCATTAATCAAAGAATGGATCGAGAAAATGACGAAGACGAAGATGAATACGAATTTGGTTCTGGTGTAACTATAAATAACAAAAATTTATTTGATCGTGAGGATCGTCATAATATTAACAATATCAGTGTTTCAAGTGGTGAAAACAGTGAAGATAGCGGATTAGTTGGTGAGTCGATGGATTATAATTCACAAGACTTTGATAATCGGCCACCACTCCCAAATACGCCAATGCCACAAAAAATGACTTATATTACTGAAATCAAACTTTCTACTAATAGAGGAGAATTTCAAGAGGATGATAACGAAGGCAGTAAAACGCTTTCCACAATGGAAAATAAGGGTAAAAAATCGACCCAAAGTGAAATCAAAATGACTTCAAATGGAAAATCCATTTCCAATAAAAAGCCTCCTGTTCCACCTAGAAGAGCAGACATTACAAAATCTAGTAAAAAAGGAAATACTGAAAAGCAAGTTATTTATGTAACCGAATATAAATCTAATGAATCGAAAGAATTGGATAATTCAGAGGCGAGCCATGAAATCAAACAATTAGATAACTGGTCCGCAGAAACATGATCAGCAGATTATTTTAGGAAATAAAAGATAAGATCGACTATAAAGATGAAGTATTAGCGAATCATAAATAATCGATAATGTTTTCAGATCTTTTATATATAATTTTCAATCGTATCTCTCATATTGAAATTCAAATTAAAAGTAATAAATTAAAAGTAAAAAATGTAAATTGATGAAGCAATTGTAAACATTGCGAATTGAGCATCGTTTTCTTTCTCTTTACGAGAATAACATAAATATTATAATCTATGAAAATTTTAATACTATATACATCTAAACAATAATTAGAATATACTGTACTTAAAGTGCTTTACACGAAGAAATCAGACTTCGATTTATATGTACACGCGTGCATATTACATATAGTGCTCATCCTGAATAGATCTGCTCTTGAACTAGTCGAAGAAAATTTTATTTAGTATCTTCCTCAATTTTCTAAAAAGACTGGCTCTTATTTAAAAACATGATTTTTGATCATTTGATAAAAATGTTTATTGTTATAATTTTATTTATTTTACAACACAGCTCTTGTTTTAAAAATTACTACAATTAGAACTTGTATTATACATGAATTACATCTGTGTAAGTAGTACAGTATTAAAGAGTAGCGTACGTATCAAAAATCGTATGTATTTTGCCTGCGCTCTTTTAAACATCATTTATTACAACATTATGGTATATTTATAGAATGCTTTAAAATATTTTAAAACTTGACTAATAAAATTATCAATGCATTTGCAAATAAGTAATAAATATACAAACGAATATTATTTAAATTTAACATCAAATTTAATAAATTTAAAAACATGATATTCATAATATAATTATATAATTCATATAAAAAATATAATTAGTTAAATCAATTAAAATTAAATTCAAAATATATATTTTATGAAATAAACTTTAAAACACTGTAATTTATTAAATATTATCGTTATAAATACATAGCTTTTTTATTTACCATAATAATTGTATGCGCACGTTAAATCGCCATTAAACATTTACATATCTACATTATTAAACAAGCTCTAAGACAATAAATTAAAAACTAATGATACATGAAAATATTAAAATTATTGATATACGATTATTGATACGATTGTTGATATTATTATTGATTTCGCAATTTGATTAACACCAACTTTACGCGAGACAAAAACAAAATCATGAAGTTAGTGAACTTCTTTTAAATTTATAAAAATATAAATATTTACGGATATGGTTATATTACAATTTCTAACTTTTTTGTATTGTACTTTATATTAACAGGGTAACATGGGGCAAAGTAAAATTATAACAATAACTAAATGAAATGAAATAATATTGTTATCATGTATGAATATTATATAATATCTCTCATTATATTATTAATACACATTATCATTTTATATAAAAAATAAATTCAAATTTTTTAAATATAAAATGACAATTTCTTAAGAAATATAACTTTTAATTTCTTAATCTGTATTATATTAAAAGATATTTAATAAAAGCCAATAGTATAATTTACTTCAAAGTATACAAATACCTATATAATAATTTTAATGTCTTATTAATATTACATTTCAATGTTACAAATATTAAATATTATTGATAATAAAATCTTAATATTTTTTTTACAAAATATAAATGATATTTAATATTATTAATATTATAAAGTATATGTAAAAAAATATAGCATAACAATAAATGATGACAAAACCAATTATGAAGCTTTGTTTATACAAATATAACAATATGTTTGTATACGTTATTAAACATTAATTATTAATTAATTGTAAAAAAAAATGTCAAACAATATTTTATTATCAATTTTAACATTATTTTTACATATTGAATATTTTAACATATATAATTTTTAAAAATTCGTTATTTTATTTTACGGATAATAAGTAAACTTGTATATTTGTATTTTAATCATATGTTTTATTTTTTGTAGAAATCATGATTTTGATTCTTAATTCTTCGTACTCATATTTTCTTTACGCAAACAAATATTCATATAGACAAATTTACAGCAAAATAATTACCGCAAAAAAAAAAAAAGAAAGTGAAATGAAAAAGGTCATCTTTACCTCATGTTACTCATTATTTCGTTACAAAACATACATATACATACTATGATACATACATACTATGCAGAATTTTGCCTTGACTATTAATGTAGTAAATAGTTAAAGGTTTTATTTCATGTTATTAAATCCGTCCACCATATATTGAAAGTAGTTAAAAAAACAATGAAAAATAAGAAAATATTATATTATATTGTATATGTATATAGGAAAATTTCAAAATGGGTTATCGAATTCGACTACAATATTTAATGAATAATTAGTACTATTATTTTATTTTTTAATATTTTACATTTAATTATATATTTATAACTGATTAGTGAAATAAACAATGATTAATTTGATATAAGTATAATTATATAACAATATTATCTTTTACTGTTTGTACTTATTAATTTTGTTTATGTATATAAATTTCAAGGTAAAAAATGTGTCATGTTATTATCTCATCAATAGCTATTTCAAATGCTAGAACAATAATATAATTTTACATCTGAAAGTATCAGACATAATCCTAATTCATAATTGATTTCAACTCCAAATATAAAAAATTAATTTATTATAAAAAGAAGTATTTCAATCAATAGAATATATTCTTTCATATTGGTTTCATATTGACGATATAAGATGAAATTTCATATTGATTTTACAAATTAAATAAAATATAACAAATATGAATATGAAAATATACTTTCAAAAATACTTAGCAATAGTTTTACGTTTGAAATTTGAAAATGATTTAACATGTATAAGATTATGATTGATGTATAGGTGCTTTTTCTAGTCTGTTTATTCGGTAACCTGTTTTAGAACCCTATGTAGATTTCGATTATTTGTAAGGCTGTGTGCATACATGAATATTATAATTCGAAAAATAATTTCTTATAGAAACTAAATAAATAGATAAATTGTTTAATTTCGGGACAGAAATAGCAACAATTTGTTTTTTATGTCTTAAATTGATATTAGTAGTGATATTAACTATAACTAAATTTTACTTCTTTAAATAATCTTACGTGTAAATACAAAATCATATTTGTTAAAATAAGTCATTTAAGTCGTTTTTTTCAAAATTAAAGTGCAATTTTATTCTTCAAATAATATACAGGGTGTTTCGTAACTTGTGGGAGTCACTTCGGGAGCTGATTGTACGCCTAAAAATAATGAAAAAAAGTTATATAAATATATGTCCTATCTGTCTTCGTTTATGAGATATAATGAATTTTCTGTTTTAATTACTTTTACAAAAGATGCTCGAAATGACCACCTTGCATTTGAAGGCACCCCGCGTCTTGTGATTGATCTGATTACTCTCTCTATCATTCCTGGTGTTTCTCGAATTTGTAGGAAGCCTTACTCTATTCTATTTCAACATTTTCGATGTTGCGTATACAATAGATTTTAAATGTCCCCATAAATGAAAATCTAATGCGGTATGCGGTTTATGCATGATGGAGCTCCGCCGTATTTTAACCGAGTGGCTAGACAATTTTTAAATCAACACTTGGTCATCAACCAAATAAATGGTCGTGGAGGTTCTATTGCATAGCCTGCTCGTTCTCCGGATTTAAATCCACAAAACACCCTGTATATATATATATATAATTTTTTTATTAAAAAATGGAATGTACAGTTAAGAATGTTTTTTATTGTAAATAGAGGCCAGTTATAAATGCTTCATTATACATGATTCAATTTGAGACACAAATAATCAAAAACAAAAGATTTATTATAATTAAATTTACCTAAAAATTCTTACCATTACTAAAATTTAAATAATGATTAAATAAATAAAATTTTTTAAAATATTAGCAGTTAATTAAGCCAAATGTGCACATGTCAAATCCATCTAAAACTGAGTTACATGTTGAATCACTTAGAATTCTTTTTTATTGCTAGTATAAATTTATACCTAACAGAAAAGATGAGCTCAATTTCGAAAAATAATTATAAAAAATGTATTCAAAATGGGAAAATCCTTCATGGTATTTATCTGCTATAATATATAAATAGTATTCAAGGATATTTTATATTAATTCATAAATGATGCTGCTTAAAGATTCCTATTTTTTGTATATTATTATGTTTATGCATTGTTAACGTTATGTATTGTTAACGATTCTTATTATATAAGAATCTATCAGAATGAAGGATTTTATGAAACGTATTGTAATAAAATTATATAAATAAAAATTAATGAACAACAAACAAGCATATGTATACTAACAAAACGAATATAACAATTTTGAAAGTATATAACATACATACACAGAAACCAATTTTCTATACTTAAATCAATTTCTTATAAAGACATGAGATTTTTTTAATTCTCTGATGTATGTAAAATATTGTAAATATATATTCTTAATACCTATAATCTGATGTATTTTAATTCCTTAATTATATAATTAAGAAACCACTTTTCTCTCATGCTTAACAACAAAATTTAGTCAATTATAAATTATCTATATAAAATAACAAAATATTATTAAAAAAAATGTTATTGAATATTATAGAAGATATATTTTAAAATGTTTTTTTATTTCTTTTAGTTTAGTATTTTTTGCGTATTTTGTAAATCAAAAAACTATCAATAAGAATTTATCAAATTCGTAGCGCAAAGAAAAATTGTGAATTATCATTTGAATTTGCTTCAATATATTTATAAATTATTTATATTGCGAGAACTTTTTATCTTCTATGTTAAATGATGAAGAATCAACAATAAAAAAAAATTTTCTTCACTTAAAAATTACTTCTCATTAATATTAAAACACTTAACTGTGCTATAAATATGTTCAAAATACATATTTCGTTTTTAATAGTGCTTACAAATGTTTGCAAAACATATAATGCAAAACAATTACTCAAAAAAACTCTATAAATTGTAATCTATAAATAGAGGTCTGTTAAATTAAAATATTCTAAAAATTAAATATATATAAAAAAGAATATATTTTCGAATATTTTAAATATTTAAACAATCCAAAAATTTACTGCATTGACAAATAAAAATATATTGTAATATTTTGTATATGGACGAAATCATTTCCAATAATTAATAAAACATGATTTTTAAATGAAGAATATTTTTGTTTGATTCACTTCTCATCATTTAAAATAATAAATAAGAACTACATTATAAATAATAATTTATAGTAATATTATAATAATAAAATTCACATTAAAAAATATAAATGGAATCACAAGTAAGTATTCCACAAATCTATATTTCACAAATTTTCAATATCTCTATATTTAAACATAATATATCGAAAAATGTAGCATAGAAAAATATTAATCTACATTTTCTGTTCAATATTTAAATTTAATTTTAATGTACTTATTATTATAGATATACTTAAATTTCAAATATCTTAATAATAGATTAAAGACATACAAAAAACAAAAATTTTATAAAATATTTTTATAAATATGAAAACATATATCCATTTTATTGCAGAAAATATAAATTTATTATTTCTTCTTAATGCAATTTTAAAATTTTCATAATAGAATTATAGAATAAAAATAAATTTTTATAACTTGAAACTTTCTAAAAATATATAGTATATCTATTATTGAATTTGTTTTTATGAATTACAATTATGCAATAATAAATTACGTAATTATAAAAAAAATAATAAATGATGTTGAAAATTTTAAAACAAACAAAAAATTTTAGATAAAATAAATATACATTCCGCAAATGTAAATGTCTATCAGTATCTTGCATTTATCTTGATAATAATTATTTATAATGATTAAAAATTGAATAATAGATATGAAATTACATTACATAGTAATATACATTGAAATAATAATTTATATATTTATAATGAAATAAATGTATTTGTAACTAAATATTATAACTTCTAGAGTTTTATTACAAATTTATTTTATGAAATTTAACTAAGGTATCACTTACAACTTTAAATTTTATTCTTTGTTATTACTAGGAAATATTATTTTAAATATTAAATATGATTCAATATTATATGTAACATTATATCATAAAATAAATAAATTACTTAGGATATCCTCCATTGTAAAAATACAAGCAAAGGATAATTTTTTGTAATTAGATTAAAATAAATTGATTTTATTAGATAAAATTTTGTAACTAAAACTTCATTTTTGAAGAAAAAAATTTTAAATATTTGTCAAATACATATGTTTTGTGTTAACAATTATAAGCAGAGGTATCGTTATCTGCTTTCAAAATGAAATCATTTTGAACAAAAGAAATGGTTCAAGAACAAAATAAGAAAGACAAAAGTTTAGTTATGAAACTATGCTTAATATTTTCAAAATCAGTTTTCTTAAAGTTGGAGTTCTATACAAACATTTCATGCAATTTTATATATTTTTATATAAAAAAATCTAACTTTCTAATCAACTTTCTAATTATTATAATGGTTTGGATATCCTGATATTTTATCTGACAAAAGTAAGTTTATTATAAAATAATAAATAACATTCACCAGAATTTAAATAATTTTATCTAGATTTACATATTTATAATGCTGTTAAAGAAAAAGGTTACTACTTCACAATTCAAAGTTTATAACATACCATAAACTCTGTATATCAAAAATTATTCTAAGTTAATTTATTGTCCTAAAAACCTCAAATATACTTAATATATATCACAATGATATCAATAAATAATAAATTACTTACATATTCATTTTCAATAATATTAAGTAAACATATACATATAAATGCATGTTTTTGAATAATAAAGGCCGTTATTGTATAGAAAATTCATAAATTTATTTTTAAGAAAATATTACAATTTTGCAAATCTACAATTTTATTTTGTATAAAACATAATAACAATGTTTTTAAATAATTATAATCATCACAATTATAAATTTGTAATTGTTTGTTGTATAAAGTATAACATAATACACAAGAAACAATTAAATACTTAGAAATAAATTTATCAAAGATATGACGAATTCATATATTGTATATCATATATGTATTTTGAATCAATTTTTATATTTTAAATTATGTCTTAAAATAAACATGTTGCATACTAATTCAAGATTATAAATATTAATTTTATTCTTTCAATTTTTTTGATCAAAATTATTTGATAATGTATTTTTTGGAATGATCACCAATATTATTAATATTTATAAATGAAGAAGTGAAATTAGATTATCTGCTTGACTAACATACTTTGTACGTTCATATTTTTCTTTTTTCTATGATTACAAAATCCTTATAATTAATAAAATAAAATAAAATCAGACATATCTTTAATATTATAATAAAATAAAATAAGATAATAAAATAAAATCAGACATATCTTTGTTTCATCTATCCTTATTCTTTTTAAATAACAAAGTAATACTTTAGATTGTTTCTCAAGTATTAAGTTCTTTTCTATATAGTTATAATTTATATTTTAAAGGAAACTTAACTAGCTTACATCATTAAAATATTATAGGAATACACTTATTATCTTATGATTATCATAGTATAAATTTATACTATGATAAACGTAACAGATTTTATGTAGCAGACTGTTTATAGTTCTTTGTATTCAGTAATTTCTTACCACACATTGCACATATAGCTTTTTTATATGCGCACGATTGACAATAATGTGATCCAACTTGATGTACTTTCTGTCTACATATTCTGCAAGTCTCAAAAGTAGCAGTATAAGGGTTAAATCTTGCCTTTCCTGCAGAAAGTGCTTTATTTTCTCCAACTTTACGTCCTCCACTTTCTACTGTATTCCTGGCGCCATTTTTCCAAGGATCTGGAGTTATGACTTTTCCTAATTTTTTTTGACACTTTTCACAAACCATTTTGGAGCTTACAATTTCCGTTCTAAAATATAATAAGGTTATATTTAATCTTTATATCACATTCAAGTAGCAAAAAAAGTAATATATATAAAAAATATAATGATGCGTATAATAACAATTAGTATATGATTAAACATTAAACATATAAATTTTTGTTTTAATTTAAGTTAAAATATTTTCAGTTTACCTTTAATTTATCTTCCCTGATAATTAAATATTATTATTTTAATTATCAGGTAATTTAGTAATATTTTAAATGCTAATTAATTAATTAGCATTAGTTTCTTATTATAAGCGGTATTAACTCCAAAAAAAGAAAGAGGAAGAAATATCTAACCTAAATACACTGACTACTTGCAATCAACAGTTAACACATATAAATAGTATGTCTATAGGTTTAATTCACTAATAAGAGATGGCGCTTTTCTGATTCAGTTAATATCAATAAAAACCACATACTGCACATGTATACATATGTATGCCTATATGGGCAAGTAAAAACAAAATACAATGTAATGGTACTACATTTTTTAATATATTTACAAAAATATATGCAAGGAAAAAATTATTAAAAAATTATAAAAATGAATTAATATTTATAACTATAAGTAGCAATATCTTAAATATTTTAGATATATTTTAAATATCGTAATATCATCATTTGTATATTGGAGATACAAATAGCTTAAATCTATAAAAAAAACTATATGTATGTGCTCTGTTATTAAAACAGATAAATTTATTCTATTAATTTATTATGTTGAAATATTTTATTACAATTTATATTTTAAAAACTTAATTACACAAAATCATAAAAGTCAATACACAATGTTTAAAATTAAAATTTTAAGAATTTTTTGAAAAATTGTGATGGATATAATTTTTTCTTTTCCTTAAGATGACTCTGTAATTAATTTAAAATATGCATCACTTGTTTGAAGTAATATCATTATTTTTTGAACGAAATAATAATCTTTTTTTAAAAAGAATAAAATATAAAAACTTCTTGAATTAATTAAAAATCACTTGTTAATTCAATGGAAAAAAAATTGATTCCCCTTTTATTGATGATTCTAAATTGTAACATATGTATATAGTTCTGCAAGAACATGAAATAAGTGAAACATAGATTTCTAAATGCAAAGCAACAAAATGCTAATACTTACGTATATGCATAGATAATATATTTCTAATATATTATTATCTTTAAATTCTATATAAAAGAAACAAAATATATATTAATAAGCAAAAAATATATATTATTATATACATATCTATATATTTTCAAAATAAATAATGTATTTATTTTTATTGTTTAAAATATTTGTAATAATATTTTCACTAGCTAAATTTCATAACAATCAATAAATATGTAATGTTTACTTTTACTGCTGTCTATTTGATTTTTATAAACTTTTGTTTAGGTAACGTTCAAATAACGTATTACGCATATTATTTAGTATTTAGATTTTGTCTCTTTCATACTCAATTTAGTAATTGCTTACAACTATTTTAGAACAATACTAAGAATGTTATTTAAAATAGGAAAACCCCTATTTCAATTGCCTCAAGTATAGCAACTGTACTAATTTTATGTTAATTTTTTTGCTCTTAATTCATTTTAATTCTATTATCATTTTGAAAATATATTTATAGAAATAAAAATAGTAATTTATAAAGATATATATTTTTTATGTAATTTCTATGCAATTTCTACAAACAGAAGAAAAATCAATTATGCAAAAAAAAAAAACAATAATTTACCTAAAGGAGCATTTAACAATTATGAAAATATATGATTTATTACGATAATACTAAATTTTAATAATTAATTTTATATTTATACATTTGAAATTTATTTTACATACATATGTACGATTGAAATTTTTATATATTATATGAAGTTAGAAATAAATAAACTTATTATGTTCTGTTCCATATTTTTCTTTATATATAATGACATTCTTAATTATATTTTCGGCTTATTTTAAGTTTCTAATTTAACAGATTCAACTCAAAGCATCAACAACTTTCTGGATATAAAGAATTTTGCATATTCAGAACTGGCGCTGACTTTCAATAGTTTGATTAAAATCACACGATTAACCCTCTAGTCGAAAGCAGTAAGCAATGTTACTGGGGTAAGAGGGTTGAAGGAAAATTTGACGCTAGGGGTGGCGTACAAGTGTGGGCGCCATCTATTCGTTCAGTGCCTGACTATCCTCTGAAGACCTGTGTACTCGCGACCGTATTACTAGATTATTGCGACATTTCGTGTGACAATTTAATTTGTGTGCATCGTGTTATAATAAAGTGACGAGTGAACGCCTTAGAACGGATACAACAAGGTAAATAGTAGAAATGATTATAAAATTTTCCTTAAAAGACTTAACTTTGTTCGGGTGGCTGCCATCCTCGATGCCAGACACGCGTTAACATGTTGGATCGATTCCTCTTTCTTGCAAGTCGTATTGCGATGGGAGACTTCAATAGAAGACCTGATTACGATTTTTTAGTCTCTTTTTCACAATGAAAACGTGCATTTTGCTTCATGTTTCGTCTGCTTTTATCGAATTTGCTTGGAAATGCATAACTCGATGTTTGAAGAGTTCAAGTCACCCTCGAAATCTCTGGATGGAAAGACGCCTATAGCCAAAGCCCTTCTATTTTTTCGTAAAATTTCTGTTAAATGCATACAAGTTTAATGAAATTTTTCTGATTTGTATTCATTTCAGACGTAAGTTTAATTTGAATTTTCTTTTCATTTCTTGAATACAAATACAAATAAGAGCGTATTATCAATTTCTTCTTGAAATTTTTTTTTTTGAGTATATGATTTTTAAAATATGATTAAGACAGACAACGAATTATTCCTATTTGTATATCAGACAATTTACAATATTCACAATGCTCTTATTTTTAAACAAATATACTTACAAGTAACTCTGCATATTATTTTAGTTAAAAATATTTATAAGAATAATCGCTAATCACATATAATCACATAAATTCTATTTAAAAATCCGGGAAATATTTTTTTTTATAATATTAGCATGAAAATCTGCATTTGAGATATAGAGATTATAATGAGGAATAAAACTATATAGTTAATTGTTGATCTATCTAATCTTTAAAAGTTATATGTAATTATATAATTTTTAAAATATAAAAAAAGTTATATAAAAATGTTATATATAATCATATAATCTTATATGAAATTATATACAATATTTTTTTTGTTTCTATAAAAATTTTGCTAAAGTGATACATAAAGAATATAAAGTGACACATAACATTGTAGACATTATAGATATTATTTAATTAAGAAATTAGTATTGTAACAATAAATTATCAATAACTATAAAAAATTATTATAATTAAGTTTATTTAATTCAATTTTTACAAGAAAATATTGCAATGTAAAGAAATTTTAAAATGTGTAAAAAACAATATATTACAAAATAGTTAAACAAAATTTTGGATAATCCAGACAAACAAATTAATATATAAATATATAAATAAATTTAACTAATTAAACTTATTAATATATAAATTTACATGTCATATTTAATTAAATGGATATATTTATGAATATATTTAAATGGATATATATAGTTGAAATAAATTTATTTCTTTAATTTTTTGCTTTATTTATACAAGCATTATTACATACAAAATGTATTAATACCATATATTCATGTTTCAGTTATGACATGACAACATTTATTTTAATAAAATAAAATAATGACATCAGTTTATGTAAAAATTTAGCATTATAAATAAAATATAAAATATGTCTTAATCATACAACATATATTAGTTCCATTTGTGTCCCAATAATTTTGTAGTTATTTTCCATGTAAACAAATACATAAAACAGATTGTTTGAAGCAAAGCGAATATTTACTCATTTAATCGAATATTTACTCATCAAGAGTTGTTTTCAAAATTTTCTTCTAATTGCATTGAAAAATTTTAATTAACGAATTTTAATTATCGAAAAGTTGATCTATGTACAAATATATGCCTCCACTTTTATTTCCGAATAATAATAAATATTACAACATTTTATTATTATTTGTCACGTAAATCCATATGATGTGTTACAGATACATTGTTATTTATGTTACCATTTCCAATTTTCAATTTCCAGTTTTATTTTATAATTACAATTTATTTTTTAATTGTATTGTATATTTTATGTTATAAAATTAAATATTAAAATTTAAAGAATGTACATACACATTCACATTGCACAATAATATTGCATATATATGTAGTAACTTCAAAGTAATAACAATATTTACGAAATTATTAAAATTTACAAAATTAAATATCATTCTAAAAATACATATATTATATCAATCAAATTATATCTTGTTTCTTTATAATTTATTGTTATTATTATATTAGTATTATTTTTAAATATCATAAAAGATTTTAAATTTTAAATATCATAAATAAGTACCGGCGTAATAAAATACGGCGATTATTGAGAGATAACTACACATAAATATTCTGAGATTTTCATTTTCATTTTCATTTTCATAGTAATTTCAATATAAAATCGATATTTACATATTTTTATTGATATTTATGTAATTAAATTTTTTTTCATATTTTATATAAATAAGGATATATTTCACAATTGAATTTTGTTTTAACGTCCTAACTTCTAACTGCAGAAACTAAAAAATCAATTTTTACGGAAATAAACCGCATATCTCATCGACTGTCAAACTGATTAAAAAAAAAAAAATTAAACTAACAGATGTAATAACAAACAGCCTCATGTGCCAATGACATGTGTGATAATTAACATGCTAATTTCAAACAGAAAAATCATAATCTATCTTAATGTAATATATTTTTTAATTAAAATGGTCACTCATTTTTTTCGAAAATTACTTATAAATAACTTACAGATTAAAAATTAAATTATGAATTTTTATGAATTAAAAAAGTTATTTGCAAATAAATATGTATGTCGAAAATTGAATGATATACGAGAAATATTTATTATTTTATAATTTTAAAGTTACCAGCAATGGCAAGAATTTGACATATCTACTTCATCAAGTAAACAATAGTAGTGCTATACACTATACAAGATTTATAAAATTTATTAAATTTATTATTAAAAGCCAATACGTATGAAAAGATTTTAAACAAAATAAGAAATTTATGAAAATTTTAATCTCCTTTCATTAATTCTATTTTTATTCCTTTATTATATTTTTCAGAAAATTAATATCTTTTATTAAACTATTAAATAAAGAATACATTCATAAAACATATATATCTGTAGAAAAAATAATAATATGTAAATATAAACAAGAATGCAAAAATTTTCATTTTTCCATGTTTTTCAAATATTTCATTCCATTTATCATATTTTAATTATTAATACTATTTTCTAATTTAATTAAGATTTTGAATTTCATAACACATTGAGCTCGTACGGAGTGCGAGATAAAAGAATGTCCTTGGAAGAATATATTTAATTACTTTTATTTTATATCTATGATATTTGCAATTTTAAAAGAAAGTTTTTGAAAATATAAATAAACATTCAAAAATAATTTTTAACAATAGTGATAAAAATTACTAATACAAATTAACAATTTATAAATTCTCAAATACTTTTATCAATGAAAATACAAATATTATTTAATTTTCTTGTCAATACAATTTAACTTTTATGTTTAAAAGTATAAAATAAAGTTGATATTTTATCTACAAGTGCTGTGGATTCACTATTTAAACTACATATGTTTATTATATGAAAAGACATTAAGAAGTAATATTTCTGGATTGAAGCATTTTCTTATATGATTTATTTTATTGTTAGTGCTTGTTCTCGAGAAAAATAGAAGAAATAAAAAAGGAATGGAGGAAAAAGAGATAGGAATAGCGAATTGAAATGCACAATGTAAACTATAAATAATGACGAATATGGATATGTCTCGACTTAATCATAAAAGAAAATAGGGTCAATACAATAACAAGCTGTACAACACTGAAGTAGACTTAAAATGTGCCGATTGTATCTACTGGTGCCAGTGACCTCCTATTGATTCCACGCTCAACGAAGCACGGGCCAAACCCTCGTCCTCTCTTTTACCCTTTCTCGTATACACTTTCTCGTCTTTCATCTTCTTTTCTTTATGTTTCTTCTGCTAGTGTTTTCATGTTTTTCTTAAATACGCAAACTTTTCGTCCTTTTGCCTTTGTCTCATTCTGTTCATTTGTTTTGACTAGAACTCGTCTTTCTTATTACTTTGTACACTGATTTTCCACTCATTCCCTGACTTTCCATTCTTCTTTTCTCACCTTTTCTCTCTTTTTACCGATTTCCATGTCTTATTATTGTATTCACTTTTTTACACCAACTTATTTATTTCGTTCATTGTCCTCTTTTATATATTTTTTATTTTTGCACCTATTGTTTTTTTTTTTTGTTTTATATAATTGTTATAAAATTACATTGCATACTTAATTATGCAAATATGTTTATATTTCATAAATAAAAAAATAATATAAAAAAAATTTATTTATATGATGTATAATACATGGATGATTGAAACGCATTTAAATAGCAAATTGCTATTAACAATAAAACTATTATATAGTATTACTAAAGAGAATACAAATCAAAGTTACAATTCAATAACAAGATGTACTTACATATATATGATATTACTTATTGTTAGAATAAATTTGATTTTAATGAACTATAAAGCTATTGAATCGTTTTGATATAAATTTTCGTAATAAAGAATGTAATTTTTTACATTGTTAAAGACTGAAATTAAGTGGGCGATGTTATGTATTGAAAATACCACGTGCAATGCATATATTTAACCATCAATAATTTAATCGATAACTGAGGTACCGGTTTATGTTTAGAGTTCAGGACTGTCCAACTTTGTAAGTATTTACCGTATCGTAACAAAAATATTATGGTAAACATATGCATACAATTTTACACCATATCTTTTTTAGCTTATCATTATAAATGTTCTTTCTCACGATCATTTCAAATAAAACATTTTTATATTAATTAACAAAATAAAATATTTGGCAAAATTTGATAAAATAATGCATTTGATTGCTTTTTTATGTTCCATTTTTTTTTTTTTTTTCATTTTTCTTGAGAAAAAGCATTATAATATCCTAAAATGTAAAATTTTTAATGTTTTTCTATTTCCTTTATTATGTATTCAATGGAAGAGATTTCTAACAGAGTATTGTTACTTTCTTTATTAAATTCTTAAATTTGACGCATTATTAGCGATCTGTTGCACATTAATAATATATATACATGTATTGAGAAAAAAATATGAATTAAATATTAAAAAATTAAATATGAATTAAATATTTAAAAAATTATTAATTAAATATTAATTAATTCGTATTACTTCTGTAATATATTTAAGATCTTCATCTTACATAAAAACATCTGGCAACGTAGAAGATTAAACATATACATGCATGATTCGGATATATGTTTCAGAATGGACAGGGTATTAAGAGAAATGAATGTAGCGTGGCGATGACAAGCCTGATCTTGGAAAACGCAGACTTAAACCGACTTTTCCCGAAATGTCGGCCTAGGGGTGGCCCACCCCCGAGTCCGGGGGCCTCCACACAGAATAGTCAGCCGCATGAGAGCCTCTGCCAGAAGGAGGCCGTCTCTGTTACCACCAGCCTCACGACTAGCCTCACAAATACACTTGCGACTACGTTCGCAAACACTCTCACAACTACCCTTGCAATCACTTCCAAGAACACACATTCAACGCACTCACGCGCGATACCGGAAGACATGATCGACCTCGAGCGTGATATCTCCGATAGGTAAATTTATATTGATTTACTAATCATTGATCTTCCTTCGATCTTTTATTGAAATTAATCAATATAATTTAATTTTATATTTTATAATTTAATTTAATAAAACTTAAAATGTTGCATATTTAATAAGAATTTGAAAACCGTACTAATTAATTATTTTTTACATTTTACTTAAGTTTAAAAATGTGTTAAATAACAAACATAAAAATAAATATAAAATTATATTTCAAAAGCACTATCTTCTGTTGACATCCTATCTGAAAGATGTAACATTTATAATCTACTTCTCAAATATATCAGTAAATGTATTTGTATAATTTTAGTTTCTGTTTTGTTAAATTTCATTTATATAACTTTTTGAAATATTTATAGGAAATTTACTTTTCATGAAATTGTATTTTTTAAATTACAAAAATTTTTCTTCACTTCTAAAAGGACTTCATCTCATGACAGTGAAAAAATGTAGATAAAGAGATAAACAAGAAAGAAAAATATAAAATAAAATATTTAAAATAAAATAATCACTAACTGTTATTACTATAGACATATTAATTTATAAAGAATGCAAACAATTTCTTCTTATTATAATTAGAACTGATACAACTTAAGCACTTCTATAACACTATATATATTCTCCAAAGAGAAAGAAATAAATTGTTGTTTTTTGTAGTATATCAATTTAATTAAATGTTTTGGATAATGATAATTCCATAATATTCAGAAATATAATATTAAATTCTGTGATACAAGTAAAAATAATAAGCAATTTAAAAGGTACATATATAAAGAATTTAAATAAAACACAAAAAATTTCATATCTACCAAAGAACTTAATAAGAATTGATGTTTATTAGATTTTTGCTGAAGCATATAGTCATAATACTATTTACTGTATTAGGATTTGAAATATATACTATATTTATAATTAAATATATATTTGATATAATAAATATATAAATATGTAATAAATTAATTTTGATGTCTTTTAAGATTTTTAAATTAAGCATAAATAATCACAATGATTCTTTCCTTTTGTAGGACAACAAACATGGTGTCCAGTTTTGCAGGTGACAGTCAGTTATCTGTTGGTGTCAGCAGTGGCACAGGCACTGTTAGTGGTTCTCTTGGAACATTTAGTTCGCTTGGTACACTTAATACTAAACCACTTTCTTCAAGCTCCTCATCTGCTTCTGGACGTAGTGAGGATGCACAACAATATGGTAGCCTTCCAGGTAGTGACCAGCAGAGTCACTCACAGCAAGATGATAGTGGACCTGAGGAAAGCCCTGTATACATTTTAACTTCTGCCAAGGGTGATCGCAGCTACAAATTAAGGGATTCCCGGTATGTTATTATCTTCACTTATTTTGAAACATCTCTTTTCTACTTAAGAAATATAAATATAATATGTAAAAGTTAATGAATGTTAAAATTACAAACTATAATTACTAATTATATATAAAAAAATATAGTGAAATTCATTTACAAATAGAAAGAAGAATATAATACAATAATACAATAATAAATACAAAATACAAATTCTGAAAAAAGAAATTTATGGATATATTAAATAATTTTGTAATAATAAATAGTAATAACACTATCTTCAATAATTAGAAACTTAAAATATTATTATTTATTAAACTTTTACAAATAATTTTTCTAAAATTTATGCTTAAAAAATAACATATAAAATATATTCATGTAAAGTTTAATAAAATTTTAAAGAATATCATGTTTTATAATTGATTTTACTTTTTAATATTTTATGTTTTACTGTAAATATTCTTTTTTATAATACTATAAAAAAAGGTAAATAACTAATTTGTAATTGTTTCTCTTTGATTATATTATCTTCAAATTCACTGTTTATAAAATATCTAATCAATTAAAAAACTAAATATTTATGAAAATTTCATCCACAACAATCTATAAACTTGTCAATGACATGATCGAAGTTTAGTCGATAAACATTACACAGCAATTGATGTTAGGTTAGATTGTATCACTTTCCGTTCTTGAACATAATTTATGGTGATTAATAAAAAATATATACTATATAAATTGTTTATTGTAATAAAGACGAACTTTTATATAGATTAATGTATTAACAAAATGTAAGTAATAACAATAAATGCAATAACAATAAGTATTAGCGACATATCATAAAGTTTCCTATATTCTTTGTTTACATTGTTTTACAGATACTATCAATATTCATTTCGTGATGATTTTAATCAAAATAATAAATTTATAAATATATATTATTCATAACGATAATAATTTATTTAATATAAACTTATAAAATAATATGCACAAAAACAATGTATTTTCAATTAGTAATTTTAATATCAATTTTTAAACAAAATTTCTTAAATATTAAAATCATCAAAAAAAAAAATTTTTAGAATATTATTTTGTATTATAATTTGTTTTTTTCTAAAATAAATTTTCAATAAATTAAATCTCACTAATGATGTGAATTAATTTTTATTTCTTTAAAAATTTCATTTCATTATTCATAATATTCATAATTTCAATAAGAAAATATCGATGTTTTTTTTATATTTCTTAATTACAATTATAATTATACAAAATATTATAATAAATACATATATTCAAATATTTAAGTATTTAAAGTAAAAATAATTTATAATATAATTTATAAAAATTACTCTGTACTAGTTTATGTTCCATTTATCTTTTACTATTTTCAATTTTATATTAACATTAATATCAAATAAAATATGATAGTAAATAATAATTGGTTAATAATCTTATCATATATGTTTTGAACTGTTATGTTTATTGTATTTAATTAATTGATTCCTTATTTAATACTTTTATATTTTACTTTAATTACTGTTTAAACTTTCAGTTAATATGTAAGAAATAAGCAGAATAAATAAAAGAATAATTTCCAAATCAATTTTGAAAGTCAACTAAATATTCAAATAATTATTATTTTTCAGAATTATAGAAATTGCTGGTGGACGAGAAATATTTTCTCAAAGTCGAGGTAAAGTAGCAGCTAGAAAATCACGCTTTCTTGCGGCATCAAATTCCTTAAATAATGAAGATATTCAAATAGATAACAAATTATCAGTTAAAAGAAACAATAAATCACCAAACACTCAAACTATTTGGGAATTAAGAAGCCGGTAATTTGAAAAGTATTATTTATCTTTTTATACAACATGTTGCAAGAAAAAATTTTAGTTATTGATAAGATTACTGTATTTTACAAATTAATTTTGTATTATTTTCGTTATAAAGCATTATATATAATGATAAAAATTATATATGTTTGGAATTTTAGGTGCGGTGATACGAGAAAGCAGCGTTCTAATAGAGAAGTCACAGAAACTGTATTTTCTTCAGAAATACATTCGGTGCGACATAATCCAACAAAATCTATTGACTATGATTCCCCTAAGAGCAATCACAGCAATCGTATTATTAACTATGACTCAATTTTGAATAGCAATAATGTAGAATATGGTGTATCAAAAAATACTGTGGATCTTGATTATGGATTGTCAAAAAGCTGCATAGATTATCAATCAAATCACACTACGCCAGCAAGAAGTATGGCTATTGTTAGTGATGGTGAAGTAGTTGTCTTTGATGACATTGATGATAATTGGCAAAATTTGCGACTAGATTTAACTTCTAGTAATACCAATCAAGTTACACCAATTAATTTAAATCTTGAAACTGAAGAGTCTCAAAGAGGTCGCATTCCACCAGAACCTTTAAGTTCTAGTATTGGAAGTACACCAAGCCCAACAACGGCATATCATCGTAATACTTCAGAATTTTTTAAGGTATTTCACGTTGTTTCGCTTATTTTACTTACACATTACATAATTAAATAAATAATCGGATTTTATTATATTTTTAAGAAAAGTATAGTTGGATATATTTAAAATATTAAAAAATTGTAGAGCAATTGAGAAATAAAAATTTTTGACGTTTGTTGTTTTGATGTTTGACGAAGTGAAGTTAGTAAAAGCTTAAATATTATATATTTTTAGGTAATTACTCCAGCTAGTGATTGTGAAGTTGATTCACCATCTTCGGAACGTAATCACAAAGTAACTAGAGTAATTGGTGAATTGCCAATAGCACAATATTCTGAAAGTCCAAGACGTTATGGAGTACGTGATACTCAACTTCCGTGTCTTCTGTCATCACCATCTGTATACATGACACCAAGACCTGGTTTTCCACAAAGAGTATTACCAACAACACCAAGTCATAATGAGGTATATTTATTGTACAGAGTAAGCAATTTAACTTGAACATCTTGGGTATTTTTAAAATTTTTTGTACATAAGTTTTATATTACATTTTGTAAAGAAGACTGAGAAAGATGCATTACAATATCAAGAAAATAAAAATTACAATATATGGTATTACAGTATATTTGCATATTTTTTTTAGAAGGAGGATACTTCTGCAGAAATCATCGTAGAAAAGGCTGTGGTAGAAACAAATATAAATTATTCTGATGATCAAGCTGTAAATGCCTCTCCTCCATCTCCTAAAATTGAAGATGAAGAAGAAGACTCATTAAAACCATCAACTATACCCACGGATAATATAAGCAATTTAGTATCATCTGGTGGTAGTACATTTGATTATTTATATGAATTCTCAGAAACTCGGAAAGTACTTGAAGAATTCTTTAAATGTCCGCCACCAACAAAAGAAAAGGAAAACAGTACTGAATCTTTCCCATTTCAGGTACAAATGTTTTGTTCGTTTTATTAATATTATAATTGTTAAAAGAAAAATTTTAAATATATTTTAAATATAATTTAATCTTATAAATATTTAAAATTTATTCATATTTTAAATAATATATTTCGTTATATAAATATTATTAAATACAATGTTAATTTGTTTTAATATGAATACATAATTTACATTGAAAAGCATTTTAATTAGCATTTTAATACTTAAAACTGATTTTTTAATCATAATAACGTTTTTAATTATAATCATTTATAATCATAATTTAAGGATTTGGATTATGAATTACGAAGACAAGGGGGAAGTGCTTATGTTGGTCAACGACTAGCTAGTGGTCCACCAACAACGGAGGAAGTTTTAGTACACGAATCTCCTAAAAAACAAAGAACAGATTTTCCACAAAATGTAAGAATATTTATGCAAACAAATTTTTAAATATATACATACATATATAGTAATTTTTATTATAAGCTTTCATTTAAATTTGAAATTAATTATAAAAAAATTTATCTACAATAAGAAAGAAAGTAAAAATTAAAATATATTATTTTATTCTATTTAATACAATATTTTATTTAAGATGAATTTATTTTTACTTATTATTATTATTATCTTTCTCTTTAGACCGGCGAACATGAAAATAATTTCTTAGACCTCTCAGTAGGTACTGGAAGTAGTGAAGACCTCGGAGAAACAGAAGTCGGATTACAAGTCGGTCATTCCCGTAATTTTACATTAAGTCCTGAAACGACTGATTGTGACAGTAATTGTGGAGATCTCGATAGTGAAGTTTCTTTAATGATGATGGATAATGAGTTAATACCAGCTAGCGGTCTTCTTGGATCGGTCGGTGATTTAGGGAATAATTCAGATTCATTGAGAATATATGCTAGCATGCCAGTTCTTGAAGATGGTTTATCTAGTGGACATGCTAGTGATACTGATAATAATAATCCAACTGTGATGTTGATGAAGCGACAAATTAATGAAATTGAAAAAGAAATTATTCAACGTAGTCGTGTTAATGATACTATTCATCAAAGTACAATAGAGAATGATTCAGTTGGAAAAGATCTTCCTGGCTTAACTGTCAGCAAAGATATTTTACATTCCTTAAAAACTTCATCGCCTGATTTGTTTGTTCCTAAGAAAGAGAATTCATATGATACGAATGAGCTTCAGCTTGATGGTTTGGATCCTCTTGGCACACCACCACCACCAGCACCTCAGGCTAGACAAAATGTTAATCTAGAAATAGGTGGTGAAGTTGAAGCTGCTATTAAAGATATTAGAATGGCCTTGCAAAGGACTAAGACTTTACCTGTAAAATCTTCTACAGAAGAACCACCTGAACCTAATGTTAGTCCTATTTGGATACCAAGGTATTTCACTTTCCTTTTTTTCAAATTTGTTTCACTTCATTTGTTTCAAATATCTGTGTATTTATAATGTGAATTAAAACAAACAGAAATTATATTCAAATTTTAATTTATAGATTACCATTGTTATCTCTCTTGTTTATTTAAAGTTTTAAATATAATTTTTTGGTAGTATATTTCAATTTTTTTAAAATTTGCAATTAAAATGATCAATATAAACAACAAAAGTTACAAATATGAATTACATGTGCATCATATTAAATTTTATATTTACATTTTACAATTTTTAATATAACTTTTTATCTTTTGTACAATAAAAGTAAATATTATTATTATTATTATTATTATTATGAATAAATATTATTCATAAAAAATATATTTATTATATAATATATTATATATAATGTAGTTGTCAGTTTTATAAACTTTAGATATCTCTTGGATATCTTACCAAATATTTGTACTATTTAAACAACATAGTCGTATTTTATTTATTCTAAAATTAAAATAAAACTAAATCATATAAAAAAGAAATTATTTTGTATAGTAAAAAATTAATTATTCATATTTGTATTCGATATATAATTATTGTTCTTTAAGAACATCTAACTAAGATATAGTCTATCGGATGGCAGGCGGAGAATTTGCGTAGAAAATAATAGCGAAGAGTCAGAAGTTCGTCGCACGGGTGAAGAAGCAGATATTGAAATTGAGGAAGGTCCAGATGAGGAAGAAGCAGATACTGATCTTGAAACTGATCGTTTACTTGGACAGCAAAGAACAGACGACCAGGGTTTTTATGACGATAAGGTGAGATATATAATAAAAATCATTACATATAATTTTTATAACATTTTATTAAAAATAATATTCAATGCAATTTTTTAAATCATCTTATTGATTAATAAAATAATGCATGTACAAATTGGGAAAATTAAAATACACTACTAAAGATAACAGTATATATATGTATATACATAAAGTAAAATCATTATTTTGTTGTAAACAAAATAAGTCGATGCGACACTAAATTCCACACAAAAAAAATGTATAATATTATAAAAAATTTAATCGAAGATGCCGATTACTTACAGTACCATTTTCTGCAAATGATAGTACAAATTTCGACTTTTCTGTTAATTTTTATTATTTTAAATATTTATTAGAGAATATCTATCGTAAGTTGGAATATAATTTATATTAATTCTCTCCAAGGTTCTGTCAAAGTTCTTTATAATAATCTCCAATTTTAATATTTATTATTTATTTAATAAAGTTTTTTTAATATTACTATTTGTAATTTTGATTAAAAATTTAACAAAATATTTTATTAAAACTATTATTTATCTTATTTAACATTATTATCGGTACTTTATATTAAAAGGTATCTATTGATTTAGTATAAATAATTATGTACATATAAAAAACAAAACTTTTTTATTCATTAAAAATTAATAAACCTTAATTCTTTATTTAATAACACAAAACATTTTTATATAATATTTATATTATTTAGATTAAATCTCAACAATTTTAATACATATAACAGATTATCTGTTCTGTAGAAGATACTGAAGGTGATGTATATTCTTATATAGTCGTTCTTTCTTTTATTTTTATTATTATTCTATCGTTATATTATATGATTATTATCATTTAATGAATTTTTCTTTTTCTTTTTTTTTTTTGTTCTTTATTTTTCTTATTCATGACTCATGTTTTCTATTATCTGCAATATTAAAAATTATAATTATTGCAATATTATTTACAATAGATTAATAAATAAATTGAGTAAATAACCGTGAATAAATAAATAAATAAAATTTTTTTCTGTATAAGTATAAACACTTTAAAAATAAAATAGAAATATAAACTAGAAGAATTATATATAAATTAAATTTTAAAGTAGAATTGAAATTGTTTGTATCTTATTTATATTATTACAGAAATACTGTCATTTTTACAATAGAAAATATTATTAAGATAAAATTAATATATTGTATAGGAAGTGTTTTAATTTAATTCATATCTTTTCAATTTTTATTGCTTCTTTCTCACATATTCTGTGAAGGAAGATGTTATAATATGTATTATATATTATTTATTTATGCCCTAAAATTAGTTTTTTCAAAATATATTAAACTAAATAAAGGATTAAGGTAAATAAAAAATTGAAAATTTATGTAAAAATGGCGTAGGTAATGCATGATTTGTATAAGGGTACTATTTTAAGGATAAACAGACTAACATAATAAATATAATTGGTGTTACATAGGGGTGGAGGAAGCCTAAGACTAGGACAATGTTACCACCGATGAGTGGAAAAGTGTCAACTCCTAAGCAAACTCCCCCGAAAAGCCTGAGTGTCGTTCCGGTAGAAAGTCCACTAGCACCTTCGGAACCCTTAGCTTCAACCTCTGCCTGTGTATCCACTTCCGCTTCTGCCTCTATTTCACCTCCTCCGGTAGTTTCCGTTATTCAACCACCGCCTTCCGATTGTGATGTTTCCACTCCTACACAACCTGCGACAAGTCCACAGAAGACTCCAGCTAAAAATTCTCCCTCGTCCCCTCAGAGTCTCAAGGAATCCAGCAACAAGGTGAAAAAGGTGCCCCTTCAATTACATTACATCAACCTATCTTCTTCTTTCATTGTGGCTGCTACTGATACTTATTGCTACTACTCTTTTCTATTCAGTTACTTTTAGTAATAGTGCAAATAACATATTCAATTAAATAACAATAAACAACGAATTCGAATTTATATTTACAATTTTAAGACGTATTATTTATTTATTGTTAAATGATATTTTATAGATATTAAATGTGATTACAATGTCTACTTTTTATAAAATTAAAGTTTTATATTTCATTTCTCATTATTTAAATAAATAAATAATTCTAATGCAAAAAGATATCAAATCATCTTTCATATTTTGATACTTGAAAATAAGTTTTAAAAATATTCTTTAAGTTTCTTAAATTTGAAAATGAGTATTTAATTAAATTATATATTTGGAATGTTTATACTTATATCTTTTTATATCTTATATTCGAATTCTGAAAAGTCAGTATTTTAATGTAACTAATTGTATTTACTTTTTACTATTTAATGTTAGAAGCTTAGTTTTCCTAGTCAATAGTATCATTTTCTTCCATTATATAGGAACCAATATCTTTAACTTCCATCTCTTTTTCCTTCTCAATGATTAACTATGAATGATATAATATTAATATAAATTAGAGATATTAATGCAATTTTCAAATTATATAAACACACAGTAGTAATAAATAGTTATATAGTATAACACAAATGCATGCATACTGAATTGCTTCATTTTCAGCTTACTAACAAAATAATTTTCGTTATTTTTGTAATCATTGTTTAAATTAAAAATTTATGAGTAATTATTAACAAATTACATAACATAATATTATAAATTTAAAATATTTTAAAAGGATTAATACTGTGTGCAAAAAAATAGTACTAAATATGTGTAATCTTCAAGTATGGTTTCATTAAAAAAAAAATAATTACCTTATTTTATACAGTTGAAAAAATATTAAATGCAATATTAAAACATCTTAAATAATACTAAAACCATAAAATATATGCAACAAAAAGTACATGTATGATACGATTTTTCGCAGCAAATAATAGATTTTATTCATTAGCATTTAATTTATTTAATTATTGCATAAGAAAGATTTATGAATCATTTTTATGTAAAAAATTTTTGCATAATACATAACAAATAAAACTATATTTAGATCATATATCTATCACATAACTCACGAATTTTCTTTGAAATATTAATATTATTTATATTTAAAATATAGATAATATATACAAACTATAAATGTGGCTTATCGATAAGCGATTTTAAAAGCATAGAAGAATTATTTCATATATAATGCATGAAATAATTCTTCATTTTATTTTTATTTTTTAAATACACAAATTTCTTAAAATAAAGTATTTTTAAAATATATTTTATTTATAGAAGAAATTTAAAATTTTTTTATTTTTTTTCAAGTTTTATTCTTTTTTTCAATTTGATGTTTAAATTATGTAAAATTTGACAGAACTTGAATTGTTAATATAAAATTTATTTAAATTTAATTACAATAAATATTTCTTTGAAAATTATTTATCATGATAATTAAATCTAAGTCTAAAAATTATTGCATGAACGAAGCTTTGATAAGTGATACAAAATATAATTTGCAAAAGCACGTAATCATAATATTGTATGATAATTTTTACTTGCTTTTAACGAAGTAATTAAAATTTGTTTTATGTTTGACAGGAAAAAGAAGAGAAGAAGAAAAGCAGAAATAAAGAAGGTAATGAAAACTATTTTTATATCATTTATGAATACAAGCAAATAATAATATACAAGATATTCTTTTTATTTTGCAAAATGGAAATATCTCGTAAGAGATTGAAATTATAAAAAAAATATTCCTACAAAACTTGTTTGATATAAAGGTGCTCATTATCTAGTATTAATGCCATTTTTGTGATTAGAGATTTCAAGATCAAATTGATCTTTTCTTTTAAATGGAATTGTACATATAATTTTGAATGCAGTAATTCATCTGAGCTTCTTTCTATGAAAGAATATTACCTATAATATAACCTATTTATATCGAAACCGTTGATTTATGAAATATTTTCACATTTTGTGAAATTTATTATGTGAAAGACAAAAGATTCTTGTGTTTATGTGGTCTTTGTCTTTTATGCGCTAAACTTCATGAGATATTTCTATTTCTATATTAATAAACAGAACATAATAATTTTGTAATGTTTTTAAAACATAATATAATGAGAATTTATTTAATTATATTATATGTAATTATTTAATTATTTATCATCATATGATATATTTTTCTTATTATAAACAATATTGTACAAATAATAATTTGTTCCATTTAAATTCGTTTAAATCGATTCACACTGGTATTTGTCAAATTATTGATGATATGAAAAAATATTCGGAGTAATGATTTAGGGCATATAACAATTTTTTTGTGAGCAAAAAAAGTATCTGTCTCACATATAAAATACATATGAAGATGAACTTCGTTTTTTAAAATGAAATTATATATTTTTTAATGCATTAATTAATGCTACTCAACATTCTCTGTAAAAGAATATTAACCTATGTATGTTGAAAACCTATTACTTTGGGAAATATTGTAACTTTAATTAAAATCTATTTAAAATTTAATTTTTGATGGTTTAGATACACCTATAATTAATGTTCATTACATTTTTTTGAGTACAGTAATCACTAATATATAAATCTTAAGATGATTTCTATTAAGAAAGTTATTTTAAAAATTTACTTACAAATAAAAGTTATTTTTTTGTATAATTATTATGTGTTTAATTTATAAATTATAATTTATAATGACATATTCATTTTTTAAAATATTTTTATGTTTTAAAATATTTTATTTGTCTTTTTATTGTTTTGATTTCTAAGAACGATTTAAGATATATTATTTTCGAATTTTTTTATAGAATTATTAGAATATAAATTATATTTTTATTACTATTGTTTTAATTTATGAAAAAAATTTATTATTTATTTCAAAAAGTATATAATATTTTAAATATTTCACTATAATGAATTACAAGTCGAAACTTGAGATATTGTAATTAGTTTCATTAAGTTAAAAATACTATAACAAAGTAGTAAAATTAATTTTTTTTCTATCATTTGATAAATTATGAGATAGAAGAAATAAAGAATTCATTACTTTAATATTTATTTTTATTCCTATAAAATTCTATAATTAATCTATATTCTATAATTAATTTTACTTTTAATCTAGTTAACTAATCAATTAAGAAATTTAACAAATTAATTATTAAGAACAGAAGTAAAAAACCTATATGAAAAACACTTTATATGTATAAATCGTAAAATTATTATTACTTAATATCATATTAATATTTTATAAATCTTTCACTAATATCAGTAATTATAATTTTAATATTGATATAATTATAGACGTTTTAAAATCATTGCTTAAAGTATTTTTTAAATGAAATTCATATGTAACATATATATTAATTAGCAATATAGATCAATTTATTTAAATATTCTTTTTCCATTGTTTCTTTTGAACTATGATTTCTTGGTCGCATAGATATTATCCAATTTCTTGCTATAAAATTTCAAGAATATTGGGATAATGTGTAGAAGTTTCTATTCTTTTTAAGTTTACGTTTAATAACTTCCAATTTCTTGATTTTATCTATTATTAAATTATTTGATAGCTTTAACAGATTAAAATTCTGTTCATCCATTCATTATCTTCTTAAAAAACAAAACTCTAATATTTTAATCAATTAGATATGGTACAGACGATATTACTTTTTATAGGGTAAGTCCCTGATAGTTCGACCATAGGGAGAGACCAACCAATGTTAATATTTTAAAATTAACAAGAAATAAAAAGAGGCTCTGTGTCTCATTGAAATAAAATAAATGAATCATTCTGTTGTAAATCTCGCATAGACAATTGTCACGAAAGTTATAAATTACGTTTGAAACTAATAAATCTGTTTTGTTCGTGTTACAATTTTAGTATTTGAAAGACAAATTTATTTGCAGTATTTCAATATTGGCAAATATAATCTGCATAAAACTTCAATATAAACCCAATAATTGCATGTATTCATTTTTACTTTATATTAGTAAGATGATTGCCATGATTTTTGTATAGTTCGACTGTATCAAATAAAAATATACGATAATATTAACACAATTTATATAGGTTTTTCATAATATTTATAAAAGTAATAATTATGTAAATATATAAATATTTTATAATATTTATAAAAAGTCTATGCTTTATGAAAGGAAAAGTGATAGGAAGTTTAAATGAAGTGCTAATTCCTTAAAAAGTGCGGTGGAAACTATTTCAAAAACCTGAAAATGACTGGTTTAAATGTATAAGCTGTAATCGTTGACTTCATGATATACATGTACATATATATGTACTTTAAATATGAAAATACTTACGATTTATGTAGAAAATTGAAGAAGAAAAACATACCAATTAATTTTCTTAGTCATCATATTTTTGTAAATTACATATCTTGTTATTTTTTAAGATTGGTCTCACCCGTAATAAACGGATGGGTTTAACCCGGGCATGCAGGTGAGACCGACCAATTACAGTGCTAATATTTTTCATTGAAAATAAGATAAATAATTTTAACTTGTTGCAAAATATGATTTACTTATATCCTAAATAACATGAACATTACCTAAACTTGCTCAAAATAACAAAAATCTGGAAAAACAACAATTGTACAATGTTTTTTTAAAAAGTGATCAAATTATCCCGGACTTACCCTAATTTTTTTAGATATAACTTTTTATAATTTTCTTAGTTCAGAAAAATATCTTCAAATAGAAATGGATTATGCTTTATTGTCTCTTGAAACGAATTGAAATTTATATTTAATTAAGTCATATATTTATGATTTAATTACACTATTAAGGCGATTAATAAAATTTGTTACATACATAGTTTAAATATAAACTACAAAAAAATTTTAAACAGATACAATTAAAGTATATTTCATTTGTAATCAATATATTTTAATTATTTATTTTTTAATTATTATACATATTGATAAATATATAAATTGTGTTTTTCACTTGCTGCATCCTGTTGGACATACTTGGTAGGTAATTTAAAGTAAAATTAATAATAGCTTTTTCAAATTTGAAACTTGTGACTTAATCAATTAAATAACTTTTGGAAAGTTAGTCAGAATAATATTTACACTTTTGTTATTTCTATAAATTCGAAAAAGTTAAATTTATTAAGGTAAAACGTAATAAGAATTTTATGTAACGTGCAAGCCATTTTGACATGCATCAACATCATTGTATGTTTGTAAGACTTGAATCTGTATCTCTTTAACTTTTGATAAGATGACAGATATCTTGGTGATAAGTATTTAGGACAGTTTATTTTCAAAGCATATTTATCAGTACTAAATGTAATGAACTTCTGTCACGTACATACGTATTGTATTCAGATATCAATTTAATTAGAAAAAAATGAGAAATCTTAATTTTAATAGAATCATTTTATTTGTATAAATCATATATATTAATCGCACAAGTTTCAAATTAAGTTTGAAATCAAGCTAGTGAAGAGTTATTACAAGGGATTAATTATAAAGTATAAGGAATTATAAATAAGAAGAACGACGAAAAGATATTGATTAAATACGAATGATAACAAGTTTGATGTGATATAAGTAAATAATATATTCAAGCAGAAATAATTTTATCTTACATTAGTTACAGAGTTTAAGTAGATAATAACTTAAACGAAGCGGACGAAACAAAATTATTAGAGAATATATTCATTATTATAATATACCAAAGAACCATGAAAAATATTTACTTACTATATTAGAACTTCCAATGAATATAAAACCATATTAATACTTAACTACCAATTAAAGAAATAAAAAAGAATTGATAATTTTCTAAGAAACTTAAAAGAGGAATTAAAGAATCATATCAAACAAACAATTGAAAAGAGATGGATGTCACGTTAACGAACAATTTGAAAAATTATGAAACTTTCATAGGATGCAACCCTAACGTTCTAATACGTTTATCTTCAATTAAACTTCTTCAATCATCGATTGATTGTTCTTTAGCATTTGGTAGTTTAAACAAGGAGAAATATGAAAACTCTAAGTGGTACATTTCTTTGAACATTTCAGCTCTTCTCAACGATTCTTCAGTTTTAATCGAGGGAGTTTTGTTCAGAGCAAGATACCTTGGATCCACTCAGCTTGTCTGTGAAGGAGAACCCACCAAATCGACTCGTATGTGTCAAGCAGAGGAAGCTGTATCTAGGATAAAGGTACGCTTATCATTTTCTTATTCTATGTTTGCATTTTACGCATACGCTCTTCTCCTTACAATTGACCTCTTTATTTTTTTTCTTTTAAAATTATATTTTTATTTCTTTGGCATCGTAATATTTGACAATTATTCCACATGAAATTAATCTGCCTCAGAAACGAAATATATATTACAAAAGGACATCTTTTAAATATAGTATATTATACAACTCATACACGATATAAATTTTATTTTCAATTACAATTGAAATTATTATAATAATATTCTTTCAGTTGTTTTTTATTATGAACAATTTTTTTCGAAATTATATAATGTTGAAATAATATTGAGTCTAAAGTGATTGTTTCATTAATTAATATCTATCGTCTATATAAGAAAAGTTCATTGATGATTACATAGTTATATTTGATATTCAAATAATACTTTCTTGAACTGATAAAACATAAGATATTAATTTGAGATGTTAATCTTATTAATTAATTCTTATAATCTTTTACTATATTACTACATTTTATAAATATAAATGTCTACTATAAATGTATACTCATTTGTAAATAATATTATTTATGTTATTGCTATTTAAAAATGCTGTATATATTTAAAAATGATGATTGATCACGCTAATGTTTATATTGCATAGTATAATCATACGTATATACATTCTAACAATCAAATTATCTGTATTTTAGCAAACAATTACAAAACTTATAGGAAATAAAGAGAAATTTTGGATATTAAGGTGTGACTCTCTAAATACAAACAAAAAATCATAAATTCATAATTTTCCAAAGTAATTTTTAAATAATTACGCTCTGTTGTACAAAGTTGTTTAATATTGTTTTTATTTATTGATAATTATTTATGTGTATATGATTTGAGAACAAAGCATAAGAAAAACTTTAAAAACTGATTGAAATTTCATAATTTTATAAAAATATATTTTACAATTTTTAAATATTAGAAAATAACTTATTAAGTTACACAATGTTTAATTGAATCATAAAAAAGAAAATTGATCTTTAGTAACTGAATGCACGATGTGAAAACATTTTCGTAATAAAAAAAACTACTACAACAAAAACAACCCTTATTACAACAATCGTAGTTTATTCTTTTCAAGTTTATTAAATTACTTATGACTTTTCATAAGAAAAGTTTATTTATAATTAAATATATATAATATATAAAAGTAAAATTAATCAATCCAATATTAGTTTTATTATTCTTACATTATTCGCATCAATAATGACTTCGCCTTAGCTTGGAATTATCTTTAAACAATGTGTTTCAAGTTTTTTCATTCAAACTTTATTAATAAATTCTATGGATATAAAAATAAATAAAACAAAAATAACCAAAATCTTATATATTATTTGAAGTATTATTAAAAAGTTGTAATAAAAATATGAGATACAAAGTGAATTGTAACGGACTTGTGGTTTCTACGACGTAAGACAATAAATAAAAGTAATGCAAAAGCAATTTCAGAGAATTAAGTAGGATGATGGACAGGTCTGTAAAAAAATCAATGTGATTATTAAATATTAACTAATTTTCTATTTTAAAACTTCCACAATTTTTGCTCATAGAAAATTTACAATTATAAAAATTTAAATTTATTATCTTAAAAAATTAATTTTGATTTTATCTTATCTTAATATCAATTTATCGTATCGATATTCTTTTGATATATGTATTTATACATATTCTTTTTAACTTACTTTACTTTACTTACTTTTAAGTTACTTACTTTTAACTTACTTACTTTACTTACTTTTAAGTTACTTACATACATACATATGTATAAAAGTTTAATGACATGGATCGGACAATATTGAAATCGAAAGTGTTATCCTCTTTGTATTTCATATTTTTTTAAATAAAATTTTAAACAAGTTATCTTATACATATACATATAAAAATTGAAATTTTAATAATAAATTTTATATAAATAATTTAGCGAAATAATTTTAATATTTTATTTCACATATATTTAATATATATTATACGGGCTGATTTGTAAATTAATGAATTAAATATAGGGCGATTCTACAAGAAAAAATAAGTCAAAAGAAAAAGAATAAAATTTTTTCGTCCGACGCTACGAAAATCAACTCTAAAGTTTTATTTAGCACTCTACATTTAATTAAGGCTTGATTTACCAATCTTATTTCGTAAAAGTAATATTGCTTATATTTATAAATATTTAATTATTTAATAATAAGAAGGAGATTATGGCCATCATAGTTTTCAAAACACTATAATCAGCAAAATAGTTGAATTAAATAAAAGTGAGCAATGATATATTAAATTAATATTAAACGAGACAAAAGAATTCTTAATAAATTCATTAAAAGCTAAAAATAATACATTATTTTACAAAATACAGTTTTTTTCATAAACTATTAATATTAGAAGTAACTTAAAATTTTTGAATGGTAATGCATTAAGTGTATTCGACGAATTTTTAAAATTGATTTTCTCGAAATCAAAACTTCAAAAGAAAAGAATTTCAATTTTTATATTCTATTCCGAATAATGATTATTATAGAAAATAAAGATAATTTTCACTTATTTAATCTTATATAGATACATCTTCACCAATTTTATATTGTCCTATCGTCTTATTTTAATGTCTGATTTATTTTTAGTATCCTTACTAATATTTCTTTTAAAAATGAAAAATTACATTTTATTCAAAATAAAGGTTTCAATTTAAAACATTGTCAAAAATAATTAAAATATAAGACAAAATATAACATCTATAGAAAAGGGACAAAGAATAACTTTTTTTTTTGTCTGTTTCAAAAAATAAATTAGTAAACATATTAGTAAACATAAAATGAGTAAACATAATTAAATTAGTAAACATAAAATGATTGATTAATTTGATGTGGAATTTTCATATATATTTCATTTCGATAAAATCTATCGCGACATCATACCTTATATTACTGGTTATTTTACCATATACCATATATATGTGTATTTATAGTCACCAACATATATATTTAAATATGTTAGAATATACTGTCAAATTAAACGTTATATACACTCACTTATGCTCTGTGTGTGCGGTAGAAATCACGAATAATTTTCATACTTCTCACGTAAATCGCGTGTTACTCATTTTAAACGACTGCAACTACGAAGTAAGGGTAGATTGTCCACTGTTAGACACTTGTATCGTTTGCACAATTTATTCGGTAAAATGCATGGCAGATTTTTAGTTCCTTTAAAACTTCATAGATGAAGATCACCTGCCGCCGTAAGCATTCCTCTTTTGTTGATTTCTTGATTTGTGAGTACAAATATGTTTGTATATACAGTCGTTCTAGAAAGGTGAAGAAAGAGTATAACTCTTACTTACAGAATGTTCGTGTTTGATAAGCGTGAAATTTTTCAATCAAAATAAAATGATTCAGATCTTAATATAATAATCAATATAATTGATTAGTGAATATTAGAATATATTAGAATATTGGATTTTAATGTTTTTAATATTAATCAAATGTTAACTACATCTTTTTGGATAAGTGATATAAAAATGATTTTTTAAGACGTTAACTACGTAGTATTAATAACTACTATGGTTATAGTTATTAATAAAATAATTGTACGATACAAAAACCTCTAAGTATGGTAATACATCGCACGATTTGTTTAATCATTTCAAAATATGAGGAATCATTTTGATATTTGGCCTTTGAATTTTCCATTTATCAAACATTCTGTAAACAATATATTGCATTGAATTCAATGGAATTTCAATTTTGATAAATTTAATACACAAAATTAAAATTTTAATAATTTGTTTAATAATATTTTTTATTTGTATTCTTTTCTTATTTATATTCCAGTAGATAATATATTTATTGTGTTATCTGTGCAGTATATACAAGCTAATAAGTATTACGATAATTTATTGAAATACAACAAGAAAAATGTTGTTTAAAAGAATTGATGTTAAATTTTTATTGAAGTATAATATTTTTTCGGTAGCTCTATAAGATATATGCGATTTATGTGTATAACAGTATAATATAATGCACTGACGTCCTTGCATGTTCAACAAAATGCAATATAAGATATCATGAAAAATATATTTTATAAACATTTATATGTATTTTATTAAATTTTAGCTCATAAATAGCCAAACAAACGTATGTTCAAATAGAACGAATTAAACCTTTTGCTAAGACACTTCAGTTAAACCTGAGAGTTTTTCTTGTTAGGAGTATCACAGAAATGAAGGATTATATTCCAAATTCACACTTTCCCAGAATTTTAACACAATTTTTGTTCATTTAGTTGACTTGAACTCTATGCTACATACATAGAATGAAGGTTTCTGGTACTATAATAACAAGGAGTCATTGACAAATAAATAATTTTTAAATCAGCAACACGTTGATTCTCAATATTTTAATAGAATTATAACTGTATTATGACTGTTTAAAATTAACGATATTCAACTTGAATTCAATAAAAAATAAGATAATTTAATAATTTGAATTCAATTTAATAATTTTATGTACGAGATAAAGCTTCAATTATGTATTCTGTTTAAATTTTTATTTAAAAAAAAGCATGCGATTCAATACACTTTGAATATTAAAATATTTCGCATGGAATGAAACATCGCTAATGGGAATCAATATTTTAATATAAAATATTCATAATTTAAAGGTAGTAATAAAATAAATTAGTAAAAACATTTATCGTATCAGGAATTTTAAATATTTAATTTAAACATAATATATTTTGTACTTTATTTAAAAGCTAAACAGATGTATTATTTTTAAGGAAATATCGGTATGATAATTTTGTATTTTTTGTATATATACTTTTTACAAATTGTTTCATTAAGTATAAAAAAGATTTACATTATTAACATTTGATTGTGCTTTTTCTATGCACACGCTTTGATATCAGATTTCTCTTTTGATAAATTAATGGTTTGTTCTATTTTTTTTTTTTCTTTTTCACCGAAATATG